AGGAGGAGGAGGAGAAGGAGGAGGAGGAGGAGGAGGAAGAGGAGGAGGAGGAGGAGGAAGGGGAGGAGAAGGAGGAGGAAGAGGAGGAGGAGGAGGAGAAGGAGGAGGAGGAGGAGGAGAAGGAGGAGGAGGAGGAGGTGGAAGAAGAGGAGGAGGAGGTGAAGGAAGGGGAAGAGGAGGAGGAGGGGGGGGGGAGGAGGAGGAGAAGGAAGGGGAAGAGGAGGAGGAGGGGGGGGAGGAGGAGGAGGAGGAGGAAGGGGAGGAAAAGGAGGAGGAGGAGGAGGAGGAGGAGAAGGAGGAGGAGGAGGTGGAAGAGGAGGAGGAGGAGGAGGAGGGGGAGGTAGAGGAGGAAGAAGAGGAGGAGGAGGAGAAGGAAGAGGAGGAGGAAGAAGAATAGGAGGAGGAGAAAAAGAAGGAGGAGGAGGAGGAAGGGAAAGAAGAAGAGGAAGAATGAAGAGGAGGAGGAGGAGGAGAAGAAGAAATAAAAAGAAGAAAAGGGAAAAAGGAGAAAAAATAAGAAGAAGCGGGAAAAAAGGGGAACAGGAAGAGGAAGAGGATGTGTATTAATGGGAGGAAGAAAAGGAGGAGAAAAAGAAGGAGAAGAAGAAGAAGGAGGAGGAGGAGGAGGAGGAGGAGGAAGAGGAGGAGAAGAAGAAGAAGAAGAAGAAGGGAAAGAAGAAGAAGAAGAAGAAGAGGAGGAGGAGGAGGAATAATAATGATAATAATAATAATAAAATAAGAAGAAGAAGAAGAAGAAGAGGAGGAGGAGGAGGAGGAGGAGGAGGAGGAGGAGAAGGAGAAGGAGAAGGAGAAAGAAGAAGAAGAAGAAGAAGAAGGAGGAGGAGGAGGAGGAGAGAGGAGATGGAGAAGGAGAAAGAAGAAGAAGGAGGAGGAGGAGGAGGAAGGAGGAGGAGGAAGGAGAGAAGAGGAGGAGGAGGAGGAGGAGGAGGAGGAGGAGGAGGAGGAGGAGGAGGAGTTGGAGAAGAAGAAGAAGAAGAAGGAGGAGGAGGAGGAGGAGGAGAAGGAGATGGAGAAGGAGAAAGAACAGAAGAGAGGAGAGAAAGGAGGAGGAGGAGGAGGAGGAGGAGGAGGAGGAGGAGGAGGAGGAGGAGGAGGAGGAGGAGAAGAAGAAGATGGAGAAGAAGAGGAAGTAGAAGAAGAAGAAAATGATGATGATGATGATGAAGATGAAGCACGATGGCCAAGAAAAAGAAGAGGAGAAGGAGAAACAAGAGGAATAGGATGTACAAGGAGGGGGAGGAGGAGGAAAAGAGGAGAAGGGAAAAAAAGGAAGAACAGTAAGAAGACGAAGAAGAGGAGGAATAAGAGATAGATGAGAAGAAGGAAGATTGAGATAAGAATGATGATGAAGAGGAGGAGGTGTCGAAGAAGAAGAAAGAAGAAGAAGAAGAAGAAGAAGAAGAAGAGGAAGAAGAAGAAGAAGAAGAAGAAAAGAAGTAGAAAAAGAAGAAGAAGAAAGAAGAAGAAGAAGAAGAAGAAGAAGAGGAAGGAAAGAAAGCAAGAAGGAACTGTAATTGGGAGAATAAAAAATTATGTCAAGTGAAGACCGCGTACCCGCCTCCCCCCAAACCCCATACAAAAAAAACAAAACAAAACAAAAATCAAAGAAAAACAAAAACTTATTTTGACCCATTGCACGCAAATATATGCTTAGTCGCAGGACGTATAAACTCACACTAGGAATGTGTTACGTGCTTAAATGGATCCTTAAAACTGCGATAACAGCTCATGATTAGTTTCCTAAAGACTGTGTTACTGAGCTCAACCTATGGTTTCCCTCCCTTTCCCCCTCCCTCAAATTACGTCTAATTGTCAATTAATAATTTCCCCCGCTCGGTCATTATCAAGCTAATGATTCATAATAGTAACGGACTGAAACACAATGTAATCAATCTATAATGAAACACTTGCGCTGGTCATATCCTCTCACCTCTGCTCATCTATGCGAGAAATAGGCTTTGAGCATGGAAAGCCAAAAGCACTTTGGTGACCCTTCTGTCGGGTGACTTTAAGGGCGATAGTCAATAGCGAATGAATATTCAAGTGAGTCTCTTTTACATACAATTTGCGATGGTCGAGTCATGGAGCTACGGAGGACTGCTGTGTAAGCCGTCCTTTTAGGGGAAAACAGGCCTTACGACGAGGAGAAATAAAGGTGGGATTAGATCTCCTCGTTTGGTGTGGGTTAGGTCGTCGGTGCACTTGTCATGAGATAGTACCAGGTGTCTTCAATAACAGGTGTGATTTGCAAGGTAATTGAGGCGTTCTCGTGACCCGCAGTCAGGAAACTTCAACCTCGTTTTCTCCTTATTCCCCTCCCCCCCCCCTCCTCCTCCTCCTCCTCCTACACTCTCCTCTACTCCTCTTTCCCCTCAACCCATCCTCTGTCTCTTCCTCCTCCTCCTCCTCCCCTTCTCCTCCTCCTCCTCCCCTTCTCCTTCTTTTCCTATTCCCCCTCTCCCTTCTCCTACTCCTCCTC